TGAAAAATTACCCTCTGGGGCGATGACCATGCCACAATCCCTTTTCTGTTTTCCTCTTGAGATTTTGGGCATGCATGCACACGTGCCTGGCGTGTTATCATTTGTCCTGGTCTGAGGCTGGAACTGCACAGTCGACCACATGGGATCTAACTGCCCTAACCACCACACTGCTGGCTGGCCCTAAATCCTTTCCTTCCTGGTCTGAGAGGAATTGAAGATTTTGACACATTGGTCAGACCTAATTATGATCTGTTAGTAACCCTTGGAGCTTTTATGTTCTTGACAGTCCTTTTTGTTCCACCTCTCAGAATTGCCTAAGGAGATGACAGAGAAGCTTCCAGAGGCTGTTGATTTTGGAAGTACTCCTTCACTGCATTTCGTCCACATGAGAGGATTGCCTTTTCAAGCCAATGCCCAAGACATCATAAATGTGTGTGGCAGTAAGATATCCAATCTCAGTAGGTTTGAACGAAAATACTAAAATTGAACTTATATTAATGTAGGGAAGTCGGAGAGGAAAATTCAGCATTTCTGGAATATCTTTGGACAGTAAGATGACATTTCTTGTTACAGAGGCTTGTTTTATTTGCTTTAGTTCAGTAGTATGGCTTATTACATTTTAAAGTTAAAGGGTAAGAAAATTTTACAGATGCAAAATGTGATGTAAAGTAAGAAAGTTTAGTTTTAAAATAAATTGGTTCATCCCATTTGTTTTTTTAATTTAGGTAACTGAGGTTGAGACAGTTGGTCACCAAGCTGTTATATACTAGATTATAATCCAGTACTTTGAAATGGCTAGAGTTTTCATTAGACACCATATAGCTTTGTTACAGCAGACTTCTCTAATTTCTGAGAAAAGGGATAAAAAAATTTTTAAAAATTTGTAGCAGATACTGCATGAAATGAAAAAAAAAAAGTAGAACAAAACCCTTGTTGACTGTGTGAACTTCAGAATGAGGGGTCTTTGAAAAGTTATTGAAAAATGCATATTTTGAAAAAACCTGTGTGTGAATTTCAAAATGTTTTTTGCACCAAGACAAACATATAATTTCACTTTCTCATGAACTTTTTGAAGTCTTTGTAAGGTAAATCCAAACCTTGAATTTTCAGTTAATAGTGGGACCTCAGTTCTTCACTTGAATGAAGGTTGAACGCTCTCACTGAGCATTATATCCTGTTGCTTTGTTTTGAAATGATAACACTCAGTGTGGTAACTCTGTTTATGTCGTACTAATGAGAATCTGAGTATCAGGTACATGTCTGATTATAAAATGATAAAATGAATTAGGAAATTAAGTATGTTTATTGGACATTATTTAAGAACAGGGAAGGATGTGTGTGGGAGAAATAATAAAAATGGCCCTTGTCGGTTTTAAAAAGTTTGAGACCCATTAGTGCAGTCATTGTGTTTGTAGCTTTTGGTTATTTGAGAGATCTTTCAAATGTAACCTTGAGTTCTCAGGAAAATCAGAAAATCCAAAGGAGAAGATAGATGTGTCACTACTAAGGAGATTTCCTAAAAACAAATTTATCGGGTGTATGAATCAGTCTGAGTGAAAAATGCAGAACCTCCAGACTTGTAGAGATTGAGCCTGAGTTCCATCATGTCCCTCTCGCCTGCCTTTGTTTAGTTTTTCGCTCCACTGAAGCCTGTTAGAATCACCATGGAATACAGTTCTAGCGGGAAGGCTACTGGAGAAGCTGATGTGCACTTCGATACCCATGAGGATGCTGTTGCAGCTATGCTCAAGGATCGGTCCCATGTTCGTAAGTACTGTCCTTGTTTTTAGGTTCATTTTTGATGTTCATCTTATCTACAAACATCTGGGGATTGGCCCAGAATTTTCCTTGGGAAAATTGTAGTCATTCAGAACTACTGAATTACATGTAAAAGATAAAACGCTATACTACAATGAAAACACTTGTTTGTTAGTTGTTCTACATATTTTTCTATCTTTATTTTTAACATTTATTTATCTCTCTTTTTTTTTTAATAATTATTTAATTTTATTTATTCATTTATTTTAATTTGACCAGAGAGAGGGAAAGTGAGAAAGAAAAACAGCAGGCATAGGACTTGAACTGTGGTCGGCCATGTGGGAGTGTCCAGCGCCTTAACCTCTATGCCACCTGCTGGTCCCTTATTTATCTCTTTATTGTGATTTTTGGGCCACTGGGTCTGGGTCTTGAACCATGGTCATCAACCATGTGGGATGCTAGCACCTCAACCACCACACCACCTTCTGGCCCCTTGTCCTGTTTATTTCCATCCAAAGTTAGTTTCTTTCTCTTCGTGGGCTTTTATTCCTTTGGGTGAGGGTGGAATGGGGAGTAGGTATTTTCAAGAGTCTCACCACTGCCGTTGTTGCCCTAGCCTCTCAGGCAGCTGGTATTGCAGGCACTGCTGCCACACCAGGCCTGTTGACTTCGGGGATCAGACCTGGATCTCCCACACACACTACCACTGCCATCACTGCAGCTGGGCCTATTTGTCTGTTTTTTATTTTGTTTTTAATAGGGAAAGGCAAAGGGTTTCAGCTGTTCTCTGAAATATAAGAAAAGTGGCTCCAGTATTTTCTCTGCCTTTTCAACTTTTTAAAGCTAATCTTTTAAAAATTATTTTCAGACCATAGGTATATTGAACTATTCCTGAATTCATGTCCAAAAGGAAAATAAGAACTTCAGGGATTTCAGTAATAAGGTAGGTTTAAGAAGTAACAACTGTGGAAATTATTTTCAGTTGGTAAATAAATAATTATCATCTAACTGATTTGTTACATAGTAGAAACCGTTCTTTTATTAATAAAAGAGCTAAGTAATCATGATAACGGAAGCATCAATATGAGGAAGGAAAATTTTTCTGAGAATTAGAATTTGTTATGGTTATATAGTGACTTTAAACATTGTTTCCATATAGAATCTTCTTTGCATTCCAAACATTCATCATTCTGTGTGCCTAAAAGTAATTTTATAGTTACTTTTAATACCTATTAATTGTAATATACTCAAAATGTGCCTTTCTTTATTTTTTCTTCCCAGTAAAATCGTATTTCCTGAATTCTAAGATATTTTCAGGACATGTAAAATGATAGATTTGAAGGGCCAGCAGGTGTCATGGAGGTTAAGACAGCTGGACCCCACATGGCTGACTGTGTGGTTTGAGTTCCAGACCTGGCGGCTTGAAAATCACACCAGGCACGTTTGTGCATGTGCCCAAATCTCAAGAGGAAAATGGAGAAGGGTCTGTGGTGTGACCATTGCTCTTGGGGATGATTTCTCACTTTCCCTCTCTTTCTCTGTCCTCTGTCTCTCTGCCAAGCACACACCCTATAGCAAAATACTAAAAAAATCTAAAAACCGAAACAAACAAATAATATATATATATGTCTGTGTGTGTGTGTGTGTGTGTGTGTGTGTATGAAGTTAAGATGTATTATCAATAATGGGCCACAGTTTCCTTTTCCTGAAACCTTTTTTTTTTTCATCTTAGGAAGTGCATGGTTTCATAGTATTAACTTAACCATTACCAATCTGCTAAATACGTCTTGTTGTCACTACCCTTGACTAAATATATGATCTTTTTTTAATAATTATTTATTTTATTTATTCCTTCATTTTTTTGTTTTTTAGTTTGAGCAGAGAGAGACAGAGGGTGAGAATGAGAGAGAGAGGAAGTGAGAAGGCAAGCCACCAGATTCAGGGCTTGACCCCTGGTTGGCCATGTGGGAGTGTCCAGCGCCTTAACCACCACACCACCTGCTGGTCCCCAATATTTAAAAAATATATTGTATTGCCTTTATTTTTTCTTCTATGCATTCTTCTGAGACTCTTTTTTTCTTTTTTCTTTTTTTTTTTTCAAGTTTGCTAAGGGTTCTTGTTGCTCACCAGAGAAAGAGGGGGAAGTGAGAAATCACCCTTTGCGGGGATGGCCATGCCACAATCCCTTCTCCATTCTTGGGATTTTCAGTATGCATGTACACACTCCTGGTTGGTTTTCAAGCCTCTGAGTATGAGACTTGAACTGTGTATCTGGCCATGTGGGATTCAGCCACCTTAACTGCTATACCACCAGCTGGCCTGAGATATTTTTAAATTTAAATTGTCAGATAGCACATAACTGCAACAGAGAGAGAAAAAGCTAGTTTCTCCCAGTGGTGCTTGGCTATGCCACAGTTCCCCCTCCATTCTTCAGTTCCATCAAGATTGTGGACATGCATGTACACATGCATAGCACATTCCTCAGGTCTTGGTACTGGAATTCAAACTGTGGTTGGCCATGTGGGATCTGGCTTAATCACTGTGCTATGAGGTTGATGCTGAGATATTTTAACTGTAGTGATTTCTTGAAAACACATGGTGCCTTCTATTACTAAAGGTGTCATAGGCTGTTTTTGGATATAAAGTCCCATAATCCTGTTAACATTAAATATTTATATTAGCTAAAATCTGTGTAAGATATGTTCTGTGCTTGGGCCAGCTTGTGGCATGGTGGTTAAGTTGGCTAGATGCTGCATAGCCGATCACATGGTTCGTGCCCCGGACTGAGGGGCTTGAGAAATGCACTGGGAGCATATGCATGCATGCTGAGTCCTGAGAGGAGGAAGGGGTGGAGGGGAAAAGATTGTAGTATGACCATCCCCATGGGAATGTGATTTCTCTCTTTTATTCTCTGTCTTCAGTGATGCACTCTGGCAAAAAAAGTTCTGTGCTCAGTGCTGGCAATCTATGTACAAATACTAATGCCTGATTAATTTTCTTCCCTTCAACTTAATAGACTTGTCAGGTAACTTACACTAAATCAGAAAGAAAAAATATATTGAACTTGTGATTTTAAATGATACGGTAACACATGGGATCTTTCCTCATTTAGAGTAAACGTATAACATTTTTTGCTTTATTTTTTAGGATGAAGCAAGAAGCATTTCATTTGCACATCTTTCTTGGACATGGATACAAGGTTCCAGTTTATTAGCAGCAACTGCTAGAGAAAGGATTTTGGGATTTGGGGTTAATTGCTTCTAAGTAAAGTTTCATCATGGACTGTTTAGAAGGAGATTGAATTTGGAATGATGAATTACACAAGTTAACTTTTTGTTTAAATTGTCCAGGGTCTCATTTAAAAATCTAGTCTTTATTTTATATGATTAAGCAATTTGTTTTAATAGAGAATATGTTAGCCATTGTAAAGATCTACATATTTTTATTTAGCTGTTCTTTAAAATCTTTCTCCCATTTAAAATACAATCTGTTCAAGGTTTTGTTTTGTTTTGTTTTCCTGTGAATTCAGAATTCTGATGTAAAACTTCTCATGGAGTAAAATAATGATTTATTTTAACCAAACACTCACCAAAGCAAGGATAGGTTTCAGACCTTTGAACCTCATTGGTTTGGCAGAACGGTTTTAATATAGCTGTATTTGATAACTTAGATAGGGGTAGAATTAAAAAAATATATAACAAGTGAAAAGAAAAAAAAAATACATGCCATAGGTTAGTGAGTGTACATGAGAACAATTTGGTAATTTTATGTCTTTAGACAAAAAACTAAGCTTTGTGCTAAAGGCATTTAACATTGGTGCCTCTCTAGTTAAGGGGGAATTCTAGTCTCAACCTTAAAAATCATTTGAGTCATCCCTTCCCCCACCCTCTTTGGGTTTTGGTTAAGCCTTAGGGTGTTAGTATCAAAACTGTGAAGTGACATGTCAGAACAGCCCCGAGTGGTAAGGACATAATTGGCTTCACTTGAATTTATACCAGCTACATAGGAAAAAAATCAAGTCGCCTCATTTGCTTTTTTCAATGGGGTAGCACATACTGTATTTTAGAACAAGTAGGGTGCCTTGCTTAAACAAAAATAGCATTTAATGTATAGTTGTGTGAAGGGTTTATGGATAAAGCTGTACTTCTGTCACCTGTGGCAGTACTTTCTGCTTTAATATTAAACAGCTTGTTATTTAAATATTGGACAAAATGGCTGGCTTCAAAATGTAGTCATTAATGAATTAACTTTATGTACACCTATGTAGAAGAATCAACGTCCTCTATACTTTTGCCTTGTTCCTGTTCTCAGGGTGACGGCTGCCACCAGGAGATGCAATTCTAGTTTTTAAAAGTGAATTTTGCCCAGATTTCTGAGAGGTATTCTCTGGAGGAGAGATTGTGTTGTCTCTCATTTAATACATACTATCTTTGATTACCAGCTAAAATACAAAATCACTGTACTGTAAGTAGTCAATAAATGAAGGCTTGTTTCAGGCTGAAGATTACCTAAGAGTATTTATTATTGGCGTGTGTGAGTCAACTGAGTAACAATTTTTATTTTTTTGAAGTCCTTGTACATCAAGAAGAAACTGGTTGATTTTCAGTTGTGTTTTTTTAATCATCCTGTAAGAATGCGATTTAATTAACCAGCTTGACATTTTAAGTAGCACCGCGCAGGTGGAAATTGGCTATGTTGTGTGGTTGAATGTATTGCATTATGAGAACTGGTGTCCATAGTTGTATAATCTGAAATACGCTATGATCCTTTTGCCCTCTCCCTTTAGCAGTTGGTATCTAATTTGCTATGGAAAAAGATCTGTAGGGATTGGCTTTGGTGAGGAATTAATTCGTTTGCAATTAAATGATTTTAAGCAAATTCTAGACTCATTTTATCTGTAAATATTTCAGTATGCATCTCTACGAAAAAGCATTTTAACAAAATATTCTTTCCTTAAATATTAATAATTTCTTGTCACAAATGTCTAATTATCTGAAATACCTTTTTTTTTTTTTAAGAGATTTTTTGTTACAGGTCAAGTACACTTGTTAGAAAGTCTGAGATAGAAAGCAAGACATCTTACCCCTGGGAGGATGGCTGCACTGCAATCCCTTCTCCATTCTCTTCTTGGGATTTTGGGCACGCATGCACATACACCTGGTGTGAGTTTTAAGCTGCCAGGTCCAGGGCTTGATCCATGGTCAACTGCCTACATGGGAGTCCAGCGACATAACCATTACGCCACCTACTGGTCCCATGCAATACCATTTTTAAAAGTTTATTTGAATGAGGAACACACACACACACACACACACACACACACACCTTTGTTTACTGTGCTATAGGGGGTGCACACTTGCCGAACAGAGAGAGGGGAAGTGAGAGATCTTTCCCCCAGAGGGGATGGCCATGCTACAATCTGTTTTCCTTCATTCTCCTCTCGAGATTTTTGGGCACTCACACACACACTTGGCATGATTTTCAAGCCACCAGGTCTGGGACTCAAACTGTGCAGTTAGCCATGAAGGATCCAAATCACCTTAAGCTTTGTGACACTTTATCATGTATCTGTCTATCCATCAGTCTGTATGCTTTTTTCATGGCTGTCAAAGTAATTTTGTAGACAGCATTTTTTTTTAAGGATTTTTTTCATAGTGCACGTGCATTCACCAGAAAGAGTGAGACAGTGAGATGGTGTGGAGAGCAGCAGTCTGAGAAAACAGGTGACCTTTAGACACATGCAGAAATGCACTTCTGTAAGATATTCTAGCAGGGCTATTGAAAAGCATTTACATACAAAAGCGCTATGTGCCTGTTGTCAATGGTTATCTTCTGTTGATACCCCATATCCTGATACTGCTTTATCAGGCTAAAGGAAGTCACATGTGTTTATCAGATTTTGCTCCAAAAAAAGTCAAACAGATTATATGGTGCCAGCCATTTTCATATCTTCGGGACGATTAACATTCCAAAACAATTGACTTTGCATGTCTCCCCGCCCCTCATCCCCCACCCCTCCTTTTTCTGCCCTTCAAAAAAATAAACCTGAGGCCAGTTCGAGGTTTTGTAATTTCTCCATCAGAGGAGTTGGGCCCACCTGATCCTGTACTTGTGTGTCTCTGTGTTTGTTATCGCGTCTATTTCTAATCCACAGCCTTCCCACCTAGAAAAACGTGTTCATGCTGAGCAGGTCCTGCCAAGATAGAAAGAGAAATCACCCTAGAGGAGATGGCCATGTTACACTCCCTTCTCCATTCTACTCCTGGGATTTTGAGCAGGCACACAGAAGTACCTGGCATGGGTTTAAAGCCTCTGGGTTTGGGGCTTAAACTGCTCATGTGCCTGATGTGTTTTCTCAAATCACCAGGGCAGTGATTTGAACCACAATTAGCCATGTGAGATCCAGCTCCCTTAAGCATATGCTACAGAGCTGGCCCAAAATTTGTAGACACCTTTACTTGATTCTTAAGTATTTTAGCATACATGTCATTAAACAGAAATTTATTTTTGAGAGGGGGGTAGGAAAATTTACAGTAGGAAAACCAAAGGTTAAGTATACCATTGGGTGAGTTTTGATGTACAACTGTGTACCCAAAATCCCTACCAAGCGCCGGAACATGTCTGTCTCATCAGCAAATTTATTCACTTGTCATTTCATGCTCCTCTCCCAGCCCTTCTAACTTCCCCTTGCAGGCAACCAGTTAGGATTTTGTTCACAGATTAGTTTTGCTCAGGCACTTCATAGAAATGGAATCATGTGCAAATTCTGAAGTTTCATTCAGCATGTTTTGAAATCCGTGAGTTTCAGATCCTTGTTCTTTTTATAGCTGATTAGTATTCTGTTTTATCAGTATGCCACAGTTTACTTACTCTTTCATCTCTGAGGTGAACACTTGATGGACACCGGGCCATTTTATTTTTGGCTTACAAATAAAGTTGCTATGAACATCTTATGCAAGCCTTTTTGTGGACCTACATTTTAATTTTTTGAGGGGGTAAGTACTTAAGAGTAGAGTATCCTGAGTTGTAATACTGCATTTTAGAGAGTTTTTGTTTTTTGCTATAGGGCACGTGTGCTCTCCAGAAAGACAGACAGAGACAGAGACAAAGTGAGAAATCACCCCCTAGGGGGAGATGGCCAAGCCGCAATCCCTTCTCCATTCTCCTCTCGGGATCTTGGGCATGAATGTACACATACCTGGCATGAGTCCAGGACTCGAACTGCGGTCAGCTACATGAGAGTCCAGCAACATAGCCATTACGCCAATTGCCAGTCCTGCGGAATAGTGTATTTTAAACTTTACTATAAGTTAACATACCTTTTTCCAAAGTATCATGTATTTTTCCACTTCCACAGAATCCCAGTAGGGTGACATCCTTGCCATTTGGTGGTGTCCTTCTGCTGTTGTGTGTGTAGTGAGATCTTGAGGTTTTAATTAGCTTTCTCTGACAATTTATATTGAGCACTTTCTTTTTTTGGTACTAGAGGGCAAGTATGTGATTGCCATAGAGAGAAAGTGGGAGAGGAGAAAGCACTCCCCGTGGGGCGTGGCCATGCTGTAATTCTTTTTCCTCCATTTTTACCTCCTTGAGGAATTTTTGGCATGAATACACATGTCTGGCACATTTCTCAAGGCTCCAGGTCTGGAACTTGAACTGGAGGCGACTGTGTGATCCAGCTGCTTTAACCAACAGCCTACAGAGCCAACCTTAGTACTTAAGTTTACTGTTTGTTAGTATTCTTAGGGTCAGCATATGGCACAGCAATTATGTCCCTGGACTCCCACATACCAATGTAGTTTGAGTCCCTGACTGGTGGCTTGAAACTCATGCTGGGCACATGTGCCTCTGTGCCGAAGATCCTAGGAGAAGAAGGGATTACATCGTGGTCATCCCCCTTGGTGAGTAGGGGGCGAATTTCTCACTTTCCCTCTCACTGTCTTTGTCTCTCCAGCAAGCACATGTGCCTTAAGGCAAAAAAACCTCTAAAAAATGGAAAGTGGGGCTGGCAGGTGGTGTGGTAATTAAGGGCTATGGACTCCCACATGGCCCACTGCGGTTTGAGTCCTGGACCTGGTGGCTTGCTTTCTCACTTTCCCTCTCTCTCTCTCTTTCTGTCAAACTAAAATAAAGTTAAGCAAAAAATAATTCTTAAAAAATGTTTTAAATGTAAAGTTATTAGATACAGTAATGTCTTTGACTTGCTTGGCATGCAGTACAATTTATGCTTTGAGAACCCGTATCAAATGCTTGTAAAGATATGATGCTGGGACCAGCAGATGACATTTGTGGTTATGTTGCTGGACTCCCATGTAGTCAACTGTGATTTGAGTCCCGGACCTAGTGACTTAAAACTCATGTTGGACGCATGTGTGTGTGCGTGTGTGTGTGTGCCCAAAATCCCACGAGAAGCATGAGAAGGGATTGTGGAGTGGCCATACCTCGTGGAGGGTGCTTTCTTGCTTTCTGTCTCTCTTGTTTTGTCTGTCTGGCAAGTGCACATGCCCTATAGCAAAACTCTCTCTTAAAAAAGAAGATATACAATGTTTAAGTGTAAAAAAAAGTGTGTTCTTTAGTAAGGCTGAAGTGCCTTTTTTTTGGTTTTAGTTTTGCTATAGGGCACATGTGCTCATTAGAGAGAGAACGAGAGAGAAAGCATTCCCCAGGGGGGTGGCCATACTGCAGTCCCTTCTCTTCCACTCTGTCATTGGGGTTTGAGCTTGTGTGTACATGTGCTCAGTGCACTATGGGTTGCCTTTTCATTCTGCTGATAGTTTTTTTTTTTTTTTTTAAAGAATTATTTAACTTTATTTAACTAGAGAGGGACAGAGAAAGTGAGAAAATAAGCCACCAGGACAGGGACAGAGAAAGTGAGAATGCAAGCTGCCAAGTCTGGGACGTGAACCACTGGTCAGCTCTGTGGGACCCCAGCGCCTTTAACCACCACGCCATCTTCCCGCCCCAATAGTGTTTTTTGAAGCACAAGTTTTTTTTTCTTCTGTTTTTGTTTTAGAAAGATTTTTGCTATAGGGCGTGTGGACTTGCTGGAGAGACAGAGACAGAGACAGTGAGAGCAGAAAGTGAGAAATCACCCTCCCAGGGTAGATGGCCATGCTGCAATCCCTTCTCCTCCACTCTCTTGGGATTTTGGGCACGCATGCAATGCACCTGGTGTGAGTTTTAAACTGCCAGGTCCTGGACTTGGACGCAGTCGACTACGTGGGGAGTCCAGCAACCTAACCATTATGTTATCTGCTGGTCCCAAAGCACAAGTTTTTAATTTTACTGAAATCCAAACTATTTTTTCTTTTTTCTGTGCTTTTGGTTGCCATATCCAGGAAGTCATTGCCAAATATGTCATTTAGATTTTCTTCTACATTTTAAGAGTATTCCATTTTACATTTTTGATTCATTTTAACTTTTTTATATGGTATAAAGGAGTTGAACTTCATTTTGGGGGACATATGGATACCTCATTTTCCTAGCACTATTTGTTTAAAAGACCGT